GGACGGACAGTGCCGTGACGCGTGGTCGAATAAAAAATGGCCACGTGGACCAATAAAAATATGCCACATGGTCCAATGAAGAAGTGACACGTGATCCAACCGCAACACGACATGTGTGCCCATAGAAAACTAACATGTGGAACAATAGGAACTCGACACATGGTCCAGTAAAAACCTAAAACGTGCAAGAACCAAAGATGGCCATGTTGTGTAATAAGAAGGTGAGACGTACCCAAACCATCTCCAATGCAACCGGCTATAGCATGTACACGTGGAAAGCATCTCCAATGGAAGCACCCACTAGTGTGGCAGCCCCCTACCACGCATGCCAAAACAGTTCTATGATGTTCTATTTTTGTCACAGATCAAGCCACTTCTATGACGATTTGCGAAAATCATCATAAAAGTACAAGTATGATGTGACTTCTATGACGAACTGTTTTTCGTCATAAATTTGTCATAGAACTAAAATTATGATGAATTTGGCTCCTTCAATGATGAATGTTATTCATCATAGAAGTGGATATTCCTAGTAGTGGTAGCCGTCATACACTCACTACTTGAACATGTGGTTCATGTGACAACCACCGTAGCTGTCAAAGGTGAACCTTGGCATCCATGACCTATGCATGCACCTTCATTAGGATGGGAGCCACCTTACAATGACAGGTGGGGACGTCTCTAAGCAGATGGGCCATGAAGGTGAACCCGATCGCCTAGGGCATATTGACAATTCTAGTGTAGATATTTGTCTAAGAGCGAGGACACATGGTCTATGAACTCAGCACCATAGGGCCACACTATGGGCTCCATGGACATGCAAACCACTGCTACTCTTGGGACTCATCTAGCACAGTGCCACACAACAGCTTCGGTGGATGCTGATCGAGCATGCCGAGGCTCAGTGCGACCGTGACGTTGCTCCTGCACAAGACATTCCCCACTAAGTGCTGCTCCCAGCCACTACGACTATCATCACCTCAACAATTGAGGCGATTGTTGGTGGTCACTAACGACCAAATCCGACCATGAATTCAAGTCTAAAACAGGAGAAATAAATATACTTTTGACACATATGCATGTACTATTGACCTAGTTCCAATTGTATTGGAGAAAGCATGTTTTGCAGGAATCATATTCGAATACAAGTGGAAAACAAACCAAAATGCGCCATGTAGAAAGCATAATGCAGATTCTACACCAAAGACACAAGCAAAGGCCCACTCCAACAAAGCATCTGGGCCGAGCACCGATGTGGCAGTGGTCTAGGCCCACCCAAGAACCGACCAGGCGAAGGCGGTCATGAGGCGGGCCCACCAGGGTGCGGCCGCACCCCCGCCACCTCCTCTCAGCCCCACCTTTCTACGGTGGTTGCATGCCGCCATGCTACGACAGTTCTTGGGTGTTTCCTTATTTTTCAGCGCCAAACCGACCACACTCCACTATAAAAGGACTAGAGCTCATGTTCAACACACACAATCATTTGGAGCTACACCTCACCTCTCTACTTGTACTCTTTTAATTCTTAGTAGTAGTAGTTGGAGCTAGCAAAAAGCTATCAAGGAGGGCTTGGCTCCTTGGAAGAAAAGAGAGAAAAGCTTGGTATGAATACAAAGAGAATTTGTTCCATAGTCATGCTCTCATATCATTTATATAGTATTGCTTATGAACTAAAGTATAGTTGTCTTGTTATAATCATGATATATGAACTAGCATATAGTTTGTATGTTATGATCTTAACATGTTCAACTTTATGCTTAAACATTCATATGATTTGTATGAGTAGAAGTAGGGGTAAGTTGAGGTGGCGGTTCATCGTTCCTTCAGGTTTGCCCATATCCTTTACTTGTCGATCCGTAGAGTCGGGGACCTGGGGGGATATGGGTAGTTTTCTTGTACACCGGCATGGTGCTCGGGTACACAGAAACCTTAGGATATGACGGTGCCCCACGGTTGAGGGGTAGGAGGCAGGTGGTGACAGCCTTGTCTGTCCTTTGTAATCCTCCACGTTCGAGTATTGTGTAGGAGTATTAAAATCTCTAGCGCTTGCTGGCAGACCAATGCTCGGAGATCTCCCCGTTCATCTCATACTTAGCTCTAACTCTAGTCATATAACTTGTATGATCATTAACTGTTCTTTGCAAAGCTATATTAGAACATGCCTGTTTTGGAACATTCTTTTATTCTTTGTTTTCCTTTTATCCTTGAGGTTGGCCCAGATGTGTGTCCACTATCCTTGATATACCGTTTTTACCCCTGTCATGAACTATGGTCCACTATGCAAGTATGTAATCTTATTCATATCCATGCTAGACTCTTTATACCTTGCCCTCCTTTTGGAAAATGTAAATAACGATACCCAGAATACTTCCGGGTAAAATGCTACAACGATAGATCCGTACGCTTGCGGATAACTTCTATAATCTTTAAGGACTATCATAGTTGGTGTTTCTTGATGGCGTTGCTAAGGTTTACTCAATCTTAGTAATGGTGTTAAGAAATGCCAACAAGCATTTCTGGCGCCGTTGCCAGGTATGGACTTAAAACCTCCACACTTGGTGGTTGCGCTAAGAAATGCCAATGGCGATACCATTGGAGGCAGTTCGACAAGCAGGCGCCGCAAAGAGGCAGTAGTGACAACAGATCAGTCATGTCCTCGCTGGACTCCACCTCTTGCCCTCGTCCCAAAGAATGACTCGGTACCAATGATAGGTCACTGAGCTACCACAACCACTATAGGATGAGGGGCACTAGACCCAAGGTTGTAGGCACCAGATCTACCAATGGAAGGCATGGATCTGACTCGTCGTTGGCAATCATGACTGTTGGCCATCCCGTAGAAGCATAGCAAAGTTATTTGGAGAAGATGAGAGGGAGAAGTGGAGGGGAGATGAGGCTGTGGCCTATGGCTAGCCGCCTTTTTGAGCGCTATTGTGGGCTGCTACCATCGCTCATCAACGAGTAGCAGTAGCGACGACAGCCAGAGGGGGTGCCTGAAGGGGAGCCATTTTGGCAGCGACCGTGGGTCTCCCCTAAGTCGCCACGTGGAGAAGAAACAATAGCTATACATCTTAATAGAGGTATATTTCCTTGTAGGACATGGATACACTTATAGGACTATCCAAGGGTCAATCTAGTAGAGAACGACACCGGGTTAGATGCATTAAACAACGGGGTCAAGCTTATTAGAGAGCCTTTAGAATATCTAATACTTAAGTAGAGAATTTATAGAATGTCTAGGGTCTGCGGACCTTCAAAATTAAATTGGTTAAATTCACCCATTGTACTCTCCGAATAACACTAACATGAATCCCCCTCGCACTTTCCCCAACCAAAGTGCCCCTCATTATTTCGAGCCCACAACCAATCTTATCTTGTTCCTCTTCTGCTCGACTCCCAAGCTACTCCTGCCCCGGCCTAATCGCCCACTTTCTCTGTTGTCCTCCCTTCCCTCTTCTCCTTCCAGATCCATGCTCCGATCCCCTGTCCGCAGCACCCGATCTCGTGGTGCCACTGCCATTGGATCATCCACCCCACAACCACCTCCCCAATCGGCCTCCGTCGCCAATATCGGCGGTGGCACCATTGCCTGCCCACCGACACCGACACACCACTAGTGCCATGGGTCGGGCAGTCACTCGCGGAAATCCCTCTAGATCTATCATTCATAATCTCTACCCCAATCCTAAATCTTGAAACCCTAACCCCAAACACTGACCCAAACCGGAGCTTGCAGGAGTTGCAAGAGGTCACAGGAGAAGGAGGTGCTCCCCTCAGAAGAAAGAGGTCACTAGTGATGAAGGTGTTGGCTGGAACTTGAACTCAATTTATTACTTCTTTCTTATTTCCTCCTTTTTGGCATTTTTTCCAGCAATAATATTGAGTTTTCCTAATCCGAAACGCTAAGTGTGAATTGAGAACCCTCTTTGTTTAGATTTTACATTCCATCTAACATAGTTCATCTTTTAATTATTCTATTCCGTCGTGTTCGCAAAATGGGGGGAGCAACCAATTCTTATATACCTCAAGCCATGGCACCAACCATGCCTGCTAGACATTCTTCTACAGTGGTTCATCAGTATTTACATCGCCCATGCAAAGCGTTTATATCTAGAACTGAAAATTATTTCACCCTTTAGCAGCAGAAATTTCTGAACCTGCTAGCTACTTACTCATGCCATAACTTTGTTTGTCTTAATCTTATCACTGTTCCGCAATCTAGAGATATATATGTGGTTTCCTAATATTCACAAAGATTTCTCTCTAATTAATATTAAGATGCTGCAAATTCCAGGGCAGACAAAAGGAGCAAGAACGCGGTCAGAGGACAAATGGTGACTTTTTTATTTATATTCTCAACAGGACGCACACACTCATGATGATGTTGCAGGTAAGGGACGCACCGACAAATTTAGGATGACATACATAGTATGGATATTATGATATCCCGAGGATATGCATGATAATAACAAAACTACCGTAGCCCAGGGATATGCATGATATAAGCAGCAACGGTTCAGTGTGCAGGCAGCGTCTACTACAAAACTAGCTACTGAGGTAGTCTATCGTACCACGCCTTTGTAGCATTTAAAAAAGAAGAAAGAAAAGAAGAAGATGTCAATGCATTGGTCAACCACCTAAGAGCAGCATATATAGTGGCTGACAATTGGCTATAATGCTCTATTCTATTGTCATGTCAATCAATTTAATAGATAGCATATTCATATAATAGTTGACTATAACTGGATACTGTAACATTAATATCTTGGACACTCACTCCATTCATTCTATCATTAAGCTTAATTGTTGGAGCCTACGTTGTAGCCAGCCATAGCACATAGATTTGCAGCCTGCTGCATACATCTCCGTACCTTTGTGCACTTGCTATAAGTACCATAGGAGATGATAAACCTTCAAGCAGCTCTCTCTGTCTCCACCTCCGTATTATCCCAAGGCAAGCCTATCCCACACAACAAATACCAATCTTGGAGGTGGCTGCAATGGCGGCGTCCAGCTGCGGCCACGCCAGCGCGGCTATCCTTGGCGGCGTGCGGTTCGCGGTGCGTGTCCTCTGCGGCCGGTGGTTCATGCTCTTCGCTTCTACCATGATCATGTCCATGAGTGGCGGCGCCTACATCTTCGGCGCCTACTCCAAGGCGCTCAAGGCGTCGTTAGAGTATGATCAGGACACTCTCAACACTATCAGCTTCTCGAAGAACATCGGCATAAGCTTAGGCATCGTGTCGGGCCTCATCAACGAGGTAACCCCGCCGTGGGTCGTGCTGCTGGCCGGCGCTGCCATGAACCTGGCGGGGTACCTCATGGTCCACCACGCCATATCCATCCCCGGCGCAGCTCGGCCGCCGGTGTGGCTCATGTGCTTCTACATATTCCTTGGCGCCATCTCTCAGACGTTCGCCAGCACGGGAGCCCTCGTCACCAGCGTCAAGAACTTCCCGAACGACCGCGGCATCGTGCTCGGCATGCTCTTGGGCTATGCCGGGTTCAGTGGCGCCATCTTCACGCAGCTCTGCCGTGCCTTCGGTGGTGGCGAAGATGGTGCCACTCTTTTGCTAATCTTGGCATGGCTCCCCACTGTCGTCTCGCTGCTCTTTAGCTTCACCGTTCGTGTCATCCCACGAAGTAGAAGCACCGCGGCGACGGCGATGGGGCTCGGCCGGGAACGCAAGGGCGTGTTGGGTTTCCTTGGTGTCTCTGTCCTCATTGGCATCTACCTCCTCGTTCTGAATGTCGTCGAGGTGAAGGTATCCCGACTCCCGACGCATGTCTACCACATCACGAACACCTTACTCCTTTTCATCCTCGTCATTGGACCACTCATCATCGTCGTGAAGCAGGAGTACCACCATACCTATACACTTCAGCCGCCGCCCCCGCCGACGACTCCATCCTCTTCTGCACCGTCGTCTTCCTTGAAGCAAGATGTGTCAATTCGTTCCCCAGCTATGGGGGAGCAAGAGATCAACTACTCGGTTTTGCAGGCTCTTTGCAGTAAACACATGCTACTGCTCTTCGTCACCACCGCCTGTGGCATCGGCGGCATTATGACGGTGGTCGACAACATGAGCCAGATTGGGCAGTCACTAGGGCACTCACAACGCACCATCTCAATGTTGGTGTCCCTCGTGAGCCTGTCCAACTACGCAGGGCGTGTGCTGGCTGGCTTGGGCTCTGACTATGTGGTGGAGTGTTACAAGCTGCCACGCCCACTGGCGCTCACCGTAACGCTCCTCCTCGCCTTCTTCGGCCACCTCCTCATCGCCATGGGTTTGCGCGATGCTCTCTACGCCACATCGCTCATCATGGGCTTCTGCCTTGGCTCTATCTGGACGGTGTTGTTCGCCGTAGTGTCGGAGGTGTTTGGGCTCAAACACTTCTCCACACTCTACAATTTGTCCACGCTGGGAAGCCCGGTCGGATCCTACGTGCTGAGCGTGCAGGTGGCAGGTCGTATGTATGACCATGAGGCACAACGGCAAGGCCATCTCCGGCAAGATCTCGCCTGCGTTGGGGTTCAGTGCTTCAGAGCATCGTTCGAGATCATCGCCGGCGTGACGTTGCTCGGCATGGTGGTGTCCCTAGTGATGACGTGGAGGACGAGGGCATTTTACTATGCTAGGTTCAGTGCTGGTGTTGTCGCAATCACAGCCGTCACGGCAGATAAAAACATCAAGCAAGAAGGGGCGTTGGCCGATCAAAACAAAACAATAGCTACGAATCAAAGTCTGAGTATTTGCTAGATAGTACTATGTATCTATAACATAGTGTCAAGAAGGGTTAGCATTACATGAGGTTGCATTGCATTCTGACGAGGTTATCATTACTTCAGTGTGGTTAATTGGTTCGTTTTATTTGTGCCATGATACATTATATTGAAGAACCAAATACTCTTGTTGGGGTAATTTTAATTTTAGTGATTATGTGACAACATGACTGATGGGACTAAAACAATGTTTACTGGTATACAGGGACTTAGTTTAATGGATGCATGATTTAAGGAAAATGGCACCTAGCAAGGGCCATATGTAATTTTGGTGGTTGATTGACAACATGATTATAAATATACTAATGTTGTTTGCTAGTATACCAGGTATTTAGTCTATTAGATGCAACGATGGATGGCAATGTGAAGATCAAATGATCAACACCTCAAGAAAGACATTAGAGCTACTGTTCAAGACTTAGAAAAAATTGCAAGAAGTCCGAGACATCAATTAAATAGAAGCCTGGCTGAGAAGACGCGAAGAAAACGAAGCAAATCTAGCCTGCACACAGCACCACCAAAATTTTCCATTGATACGTTGCACAGGGGACGGAAGTGATGACAGAGGCAGCGGAAGTGAAGTGTCCACAAAGAGCTTGCCTTTTACGTCTTGCTTGTGAATTCTTCTTGTTTGTAAGCGTACATCACCAAGAGTAAGTCTTGCAACACAGTCCAAACGTGTTTGTGAAGTGTCCGTCGGAGCTTGTACGGCGTCTCTGGTAGGTGCAGAAATACCTAGGGTATATTGCTGAGCGCGTAGGAAACTAAGAAAAACATAGATCTAAATAAATCCAGTACTAAACTGCGTTGTGGGGCAGGGGAGAAAAGAAAAGATGAAGTGGTCTGGGCTGCTGTCTCGAAAAAAAGAAAGAGAAAAGGGTCTGGGCTGCTAAACTTGGGCCAGCACTCCTGTCTTAGCGCTTTTCTGGGCTGGAGCCTGGAAAACCTACAACTATGCACGGCCCGTGCAAAGCGTTTTTACATAGTAGTACAACTGAAAAATTGCAGGGAGCTCTCTTTTCTTTTTTTAGCGTTTATAACACTTGGCAAAGATTTCTCTCTTACAAGATGGAAATTTCAGTGCAGATAAAGCAAGTAAGAAGACTTTTCATAAGGTATATTCCAAACAAGTAATAAGCAAGCAAGAAGATTGTCGAGAAGGTATTCTGAACTGAACAAACATGTAAGACCAGGGACTCTCTTATATATCTCTTCGATAATGCTGGGAAGCGGGCGTCCGTCCGCCTAGACGCTCCATTAGTGGGCCGCGTCGTTAGTCCAATAACCTCCGCTTCTTCATTTCTCGAAACTGCTCATCCACTCATTCCTATTCACTTGTTCCTATCGCTTCTATCCGCTCGCCTGCTGCCTCCGAGCGCAGCTCTCGACTCATCCACTCGTTCCTAAACAATATGTTCGCTTCCTTGCCCCTCTTTTGTCTCTCCCCAATTTGCTCCCTTGTGCGCATCCAACACAGAGCAGCGAGCACCGATGGTGTGCGGCGTGCCAGTGAGCCGCAGCATGACGGCGTAGAGGCAGAAATGCGCAGAGGCAAGCTCGCGTCGACACGGAGGCAAGCGAGCCCTGGCGACAGTCGCTCGTGCACAACGACGCGAGGCCAGCGAGCTGCGCGGGCGACGGCGTGGAGGCAGGAGAGCTCCGCGGCATGCGCTCCACGCATAGTCGAGCTTGCGGCAGTGCGGAGGCAGGCGAGCCCGACAGCAGCCGCTCGTGCATGACGACGCTAGGCCAGAGTCGCTTTGAGGCGCAAAGCTCAACCGCTGGGCCTGCTAGGCACAACGCGCTCGGTGCTCGGCTGTCGGCCCTGCCAGGTGCGGCATGCTGCTGCCCTCTCCCAGTCATGCGGCCGCTGGCTCCTAGCCGCGTCGCGAGGCCGATGCCTCCCTTTCCGCGTCGTGCGGCCGTTGTGTAACATCCTAGATGTTAAAAAGCAATTAAAACCTTGATCATATTCATCATCATTCATAATCATGAAGTATTAAGACATAAATGCATTGCATATTTTAATTATAGCATTCATAGGTTGCATATGTGTTGAAATGTGCTTGCATGAGATGTTATGAAAAACATTAATTAAGGTTCTTTTGTGATTTTATGGTTAGAAATTTCCTTAAACAACTAAAATTTTTCCAATATAAATTTTGTACAAGAAAGTATGTGCCTTAAAATGAAATCAAAGTTGGAGTATGTTTTCAAGTCAAATATGTTTAAATTTCAGCTCAAGGATTGAATTCAATAATTATTTCTGATACTTGGCCATTTTTTATTGTCCCTGAATTTTAGTTATAAAGTTCAATGTTTGGGATTTTATTAAATCAATTTTTATAGATAAAAACTGGGCAACTTTTGTTTCATTGGTTGGTACTATGCTTGAGCTAGGTTAATGTGAAATTGGTTGATATGTTTGATAAATGTTTGTCCACTAATTAATTAACCAAAGTTGCTAGTTAACAGTTTGCAAACCCTAACTCTGAAAATCAGATTTCAAGTTCTATCTTCGAAATTCAAAATCTCTCAATCTGTTGATCTTTTGATGTTGGACCTTGAAGCAAAGATGAAGATGAGAGAGGGATGAACAACTTTGGTTATTGGAGCTTGACAAGTTTTTGCACAAAATCAGGAGAAAAAGGAAGAAGAAGATGCCCTGTGAGACATGAACAGTACCCTAATGCCATCCCTCTCTTTTCTCCCTCTCTCTCTCTCTCTCTCTCTCTCTGTTCACCGGCGTCCGCCGTGGCATTTCTCGCGAGTGGACGTGTGGCTATCTGCGTGGCCGAGCTCACGAAGACGCTGGTGTGCTAGAGTTCGCCTCCTCGCCTATAAAAGCTAATTGCCAGCCGTCGTTTCTTCTTTTCCTTCTTCCCACCACCGTTGTCGAGCCTTGCTTCACCGGTAAAATTCATCGCCATCGAGCCGTCTGTGTTCAATTGCTTGCTCCCTTAGTTCTGCCTAGCACTTGAGCATTGCCTGAGCCCGCTCACGCCGTCCCTCGCTGCTGAAATCAGTCGCGCGCCGCCGTTCTTCCTCATGGCTGTCCGCCATCACCGCCGTGACCACCTTACCATGGCCAAACCGCTCGGGTGGGTCTCTCGCCCATCTCTCTTTTACTCTAGCTTCGCTTTGATGCCGTGGTGGTGATCGGCTTCTCTTTTTTACTGCTACCATGCAGGACGCGCCGGAACGCCATCGTCTTCTCCAGTTGCACCGCCGGATCCACCATTAACATCGACAACGCACCTCCGTTCAGTCTCCGCTTCAACCAAGTAGCCGAGCGTGATCGTGGTGAGTCCCTGATGCTGTTCGGCGCTTTATTTTAACCGCTATCGTTCTCCAGTGGCCGGCACATTGAGTGCCGCTCCGCCGTGGCTGCCATGGTCGGCGTTGAGCTCGCCTTGGAACCCTAGCTGGTTGGTTAGACCCATAGATCGATGTGCGTGTTGATGGGGAGCGTGTTGGTGCCCTCCTCATCGCCGGCCGACTCGCCGCCGGCGAGCTCTACCGTTTACCCGCCGGCGTGTCCACGGTCAAGGCCGGTGCGGGTCGGGTTTGACCCCGGCCCCGCATGTCAGTGACTGTGGGTGGCTAGGGGGTAAGTGAGAAAGGGTTTTTAGCGCATAAAATTTGTTTTTTTATCTTTTCTAGAAAATGCTAAATAGTGCTAAATCTTGTTTAATTCATAATAAATTGTATAAGTGTGATAAATTTATGAAAAAAATTTGTAGCTCTATTATTGTTTGCTATACTTAGAAAAAATATGAAATGGTGAAAATAATTAGTGTTTGCATGCTTAAAAATTACCTCTTTTAATTAATAAATGGACCTTACATAATTTTTATAGGCTAAAATAATTATGCTTTAATCATGAAACTTTTTGTGTATGCTCTACATGCTAATACCTACCTTCACAAAAAGTTTGGTACTATTTTGATAATTCTAAATTGGTTAATTAATTTAAGTGTGTTTAAATGCCTTTTATGGGTTAATAAAAATAACAAAATGGTTTCTATAAATTCCTAATTAACTTTGATGTGATTTTGGTATTGATTGTGGGCATTGGAACACTAACCCCTTGGATGTTCCTTGGCAAATCACTTTCTTGTTATGATCATAATCAACTTAGTGATAATGATACTAAGATTGATTTGTGAGTAATTAACTTAATTAACCCGTGAAGGAAAGTTGTACTCAAGTCAATTAATCTTGTTTGATCATCTTAATCCATGTTGCATCTTTCATACATCATTTTTATTGCATATAATCATGTCAAGCATGCATCTTTTATCACGTGTAGTGACCGAAGGTAAGGAAGTGACCGTTGATCAAGTTCTAGAGGAAGAGAATCCACCTGTGGAGGTTGGGTTTGACATCTGTGGCTCATTAGGAGAACCTAACACCTCTACTGACCAAGGCAAGCCCCGGAGCATTTAAACCCCTTCCTTGTGTTTTACAAATGTTATTACACTTTAAGTCCTATGCTTTGTGCATTAAGTGATTAGGGTTTGGTTGATTACCAACTACTGCCTGCCTGCCTGCCTTGATATTTCAATCCTTATCCTTGTCAACCTTGCAGTAAAGATGATAGGTTAGTAATGCTTAGCCATGCCTATCTAATTAGAGTTGAAGGATGAGTTCATCATTCGCAATGATTCTATACTCCTGAGATGCCTTGAAAACTTAATATGAATAGATGAACATGGAGACCGGACGGGACATGGGGTGTCGCTGGTGGTTAAGCTGATAGGGTTGTCTGTCGTGCTTGTCCTATCTATGTCGATTGAGGACCATCCGCTGTAGACCTGTGTGAGTTGAGACTTTGTAGTACTGGCCACATACTCCGGTAAGCCTAATATCTCGGCTATTCCATTATGGGAAAGGACAACCGCACACTGGGAGTGGAGAGATGGCGAGAGTAGCATGTACCCACCCTACTGGAACAGGGTAGGGCGGTGGAGTATT